GTTGAAACTGATCAGTTTCAGCAGCGGCTGAATCTGGACGCCAGTTCCGACTTACATACAGATTCAACTTAAGAACAAACCTACAGTCCCTATCTTGTAGGTAACCCGGGGACTGCCTGTAGAAGTTTTATGTTAATATAAATAGTGTTTTTCTGTTTGAGGGAATGTTTGGTTTTTGCTTTTCAGTTCATCTTTTATGGACTGGTCTATGCTTTCCTCGATACAGAAGACTGAAAATGTTGTTAATCTGTTTTGAAAATGTGGTGGTACTATATAAAAAATGGTGGAATTTTACTGGAAGGTTAGCTAGTGAAATGCCATCAGTTAGATATTTATTTGAGACTGAAATATATTTGGGATCTGATTGTCCTTGGAGACTATCACTGACATTTTTAAGGATCCAAATAATACATTCTTTCTTGTATACTGGGCTTGGAATTTCACCATCGACTAATGAATTCTTGACCTAAAAATTTTAAATTGCCTTATTTTCCTTACTCTTTCTTTTATTGGTCATTATTTTATTAGTTATAAAAGTTATATACTCTTGGATCTTAAGTTGCTGTTAAGCTATTTTGTAAAACTGAAAGCTTTATCAACAAGTTATCTCCCATATTGAGTCATTCTATTTAGATCCCATGCGAATTATTAATGTTCATTTAACACCTATTACACTTGGTTTTTTATTTATGATAATTAAAGTTGTCCCTAATCAAAAGTTTGATACAATTAGTGATTCTCGATTATGTGGTGTCTGTTGCTAAAAAGTTCAGACTTGTTTGTCCCTCTTTGTATATTGTAACAAATTTTGCGTGAGTTCCAGGATTTGCAAAACCTGTCAAATATTGGCTTTTAGGGTCAGGAACCCTAACATTGAATTTAATTTGAGCACAATAAATTGTTACAATAAGATTTCGTAGCTTAATTACAAATGCCATCTGTGTTTTCTCAAAAGCAGCAGCTCAATAAATTGTTCCTATCCACTGAAGTAGTTAAGTGGCTGCAGTGACATTGTGTGTCTAAAAAATTTAAAAAATGGATTAGTCGCGTTCAACCCTAAAATGAATTGCATAATAAAAATAGCTAAAGTAGGTGGCATGATTGGTTTCATTAGGGCATTTTATATAGATGTACTGGACAGCACAATTTAAAAATGGTCCTTGAGCTGAGAGCAAGAAGATTGGCTGAGGAGGGAAAAGGATTTTTTAACATTTGCAGCTGCAGATAAGAAAGTAGCACAGCAGCCTTGGATGCAGGCCAATCTGGCCATTTAGCTGCAAGGGTGAGTTTGGTGCAGATATAAGTAAAGAGATTGGATTTACATAGAGGGAAAACCTTGATGGGTGGGAGGGATAGGACTTTGATATTGGTGAACTGTTCTGAAAAGCTAGAAGAGGAAGTAAGGATCCATATGCATTACCTTTCCTCAGCAAATGCCATCATCAGTGCTCAGATACATGGAATTTCTTTGCCATGAAAGAACAGTTTCTTTTTAGGTTTGATTTTAAAATCACTTTTTTTTTTTTTTAGTAGCAAACCATGAGAAATCAAATCATCCTTTGTTTTGCTATATTTCAAGAACTGCAGACACTGTGGGATTTTTTTCTGTTTGCTTCTGTTTGTCTACATTTTTTTTATGTTGTTGTTGCAGTACTGTCGTGGGCTAATGTAGTTCTTTGCTATTTTGCAGTGACATGGGGATCTAATCAATATTCTATAGAATTTGAGAACAGTTGTAAAAATGCCATTTGGCTGTTAAACAATTGTTTTGAAATGCTATTTTAAATGGCTGGGGTTTTGTTTGCTTCTACTTAATTGTGTACAAATAAATGTCAGGGAAGAGCTATTTGTTTCTTTATCTAATGAAATCATAAAATAAAACTTGAAATGATTAATGTACACTGTTAAAGTTCCACAGTACTCCAGAACACTAGTTTAAATATCTTTTAAACCTAGTTTTCAACTTTGATATCTTGCTGGAGTTCTTTTAAAGGTAAACCGTATATATGGTAAAATGCTGCCTAAAATCAAATAGAAAAGTATTTGATATGATAGCTTCCAACCATTTGTTTCCTATAATCCATTTTTACATATTTCAGAAAGTTCCATGTTCAGGCTTCTAACCTTCGCCCAAAGGATGAGTTATGCCCTAATGAAAGTTCATGATTAGCATTTATTAAAATAAATCCATTCCCCTTTTGGTTTTAAAATATAAACTGTGCATCCTTAAGCATCTTTACTCCATTAGTTTCAGTATTAGATTCTAAGATATGAATCTCTCGTTTGTTTTGTTAAATTATTTCAGAATCTTAAATATGTGAAAATTGAAATACTTAGATACTCTTCCTCTAGAGAGATGTTATATGCCACTTCTGAAGTTTTTGTCCTACTTATTTTGACATCAAGATGTGATGTCCACTCCTCATCCCCACCTTTTAAAAAAAATGTCAGGGAATAGTTAAGAACTGGCAAGTATAGCTTTTGCACCGTGGTATCACAGAATAATACTGTTATGGTTGTGCAAGAATCAGGATGGTTTTCAGTTTTGACAGGACATGATATGGTGCATATGTGTGTCTGACTTTTTGCTCAAGTGTTGACTATTCCTGTATACCCCATATTTTGCATGGGTTGCACTGTTTGCTAAATAAAATTACAGGCACTCATTTTATTGCAGTGGGAATCTGTTTTCCATCTGTTGCCTGTCGATGATGTGTAAATGAATTTTGGACCCTTTTTAAGGTTTAAGATTGTCCAGATGTCGAGGTACTGCCACCTTCTCCAAAAATTCAGCATCAGGATGAGGTGCATAGAAGGCTTTTGTGGGTGGGACATCATGGTTACTATCTGTTAAACTTACATTTTCATCATTATTCATGAACATAGTGATATTGTCCACACAAAAAAACACAGCATGTAAGATCCATTAGTATGTAACAATTTAAATAGTTGAAAAAGCTGTTTCCTTTGCTAGACTATTAAAGTGTTCTATTCATAATTGTCTTAGTGTTTGTGTAATGAACTCCTCTAAACATAAATATTAGGTAAAAAAAAGATGAAAAGCAACTTAACAGACAACAATCGAGCAATATAATGCTCTCTGTAAAAACTGAAAAATGAAAAGGTATTGAGCTGAGGGGTGAAATAATTCTAGGTGAATATATTTTAAAACAAGTTTACCATCAATGAGATGATATTGATTATCATTGTAAAACATAATGTAAACCCTGTGCCCCATCAAGAACACAGAAAAGCCAAGATTTGACCACCTACTACTAGCATCCCTACAACTTGTCCGTGGTGATGCCAGTGTAAAAGAAGCCTTTATAAATCTCAGACAGCCAAGTTAGCTAAAGAAAAAAATACCCAAGTTCTGTGTGATTTAGGATGCACAACAGTCAGGCCGTTTCCCCAGAATTTTATTGAAACATTATTATTCGTGTAAAGTAAATGAAATACCTGATTTGGAAGTAAAAGACACAATTCCAACTCAGAATGGGTTGGAACTTTCATTCACTTTACATTGTTCTATCAGGAATGTTGTGATACTGAAATCAGAAGCACTATAAAATGTAAAAGAAGTATACAATTCCAATTAAGACGAGAGGGGTACTGTTAATAGAGGACAAGAGTATGTTTTGAGGACTGCAATTTATTTTTAGCTATTACAACCTTAATTTATAGGTTATTTCCACTGTAATCCACATTTTCTTAGGCCTGGCCTACACTAAAATTGAAGGAAGAGAAGGCTGAATCAAGATATACAGCTCCAGCTACATTAAGTACATAGCTGGAGTCGATGTAACTTGATTTGAGATACTCTGCTCCCATCGACATATCTTACTCTTTGTAAGAGCAGAAGTACTGGCCACTGATGGGAATGCCCTCTGAGTTCAATTTAGCAGACCCACTAAATTGAACTCTGGAAGTTCGATCGTTGCTGTGTCGATCTTCCACTGAGTGCAGACATGTCCTTAGAGATGGCCAGGGAAGCTAAAGTAGCTTGAATTTTGTTATACAATAGTTCAAGCTAGAAGCAATTTTTTTAAAAAAATCTCTAACTTTTTATTTTAAAAGAAACCCAAAAAATTTGTATTAAATCTTAAGCCATTTAAACCAAAATTTAAAAATCATAGACTGGATAATTCTATGACCACTAACATGTAATAAATATGCTAAAGCAGAGGTAATCAAATCCCACATTATATATCATCAGTTGATTGCTACTAGGATCTTGAAAGAACTTTCTCCAAGTTGTCCAGTTGGGTTGGTTGATGTCTGATGCAGTTTGGAAAAGCAAATAGATTAAAAATTTAGAAGTACTTGTATCCCTTAGAAGCCTCAGTCCCCTCAGTGCTTTTGAAAATGGTATTTGCGTTTCAAAGTCACTTAGAAGTTTTGAACATTTTATTCTATAGCTATATCTTTTAGATTTTTTTTCCATGTAAAAAGTACTTACAAGACTTGGTTGTGGTTCTTTGTTGTTTGTTTGTTAGAGTTTCTGTGTAAGGAATGCCCAAAAGTTCATATTTACCTTGATCGGATCGAATTGAAAGATATTCCAGAAGAACAGATGTATATGAGAAGATGGCTTCATGAGCGCTTTGAAATAAAGGATAAGTGAGTAATGTTATTCGCCTCTGAGACTTAAGATTTTATATACTACAGAGCAACTTATTTTTAGTATTATCACAATGACCAGTTTCAGATCTCCTATACGTGTCCATGGACAAAATCACCTACTCTGTTAATAACCCAATGGTAGGGATTTTCTGGAAACTAATTCTGTTTGCATTTCCAGAGCTTGCATTGCCTCAGATTGTTCCATTGATGGTAGAAGATAGTGTTTCCCACATTGGAATGTCCTATGGGGAGAAACACTCCCAGTGTGTGTCTGGCATACTTACAGATGTCTATGCCTCCACATCAGCTGAGAGTCCCTTCCTGTTCTCTCTTGTTC